TGTGGAGCTCTCCAGCTTCTGCAAGATGTCCAACTGGGCGCTGGTAGGGCCTGACACTCCTGAGGGGGAAGTGTGTTTCAATATTAGCATCTTCTCCAGTTTGTTTACTATACGAAAATTAGAGCAGAAATACAACGTCTGGCGACCAGTGTGCGTTTTGTTGAAGTGACGATCAGGCTACTATCGGCCAGGTTAAGATCATCGTTGATGTTAAGATTTTCAAATTTTTTTTACTAATTGTGGATTGCCTAAGAAAGTTTCCGCATAAATTGTTTTATATATTGAAAGCAAACACGGTTATGGAGAAGTTATGAATGAACTGTTATAATTTATGACAGAAAGTTTCAGGTCCAAAGCAATGCTCTTAGTGTTCTAGTTGGGGAAGTTTCCAAGCTGCTAGTGCATTAAGCAGACTTCATGTTTTTATAGAAATAGAGATGTGAGCTGTAAATTAATTGGCAAAATGTATTAAATGTTGAACATTTATATTCAACTGATATCTTAAAATTATAAAAAGTGATTGATTGATATATAAAATATTGACCGAGAAAGATTTATCGATAAATGGTTGTGCAGCTTCCAAGAATTAATGAGATAAGTAAGAGCTAAATGTTGAGAATTGCTTCAGAAATGCCAGGTGATTGCTTGTTTTGATTGGAGGACGTCTTTGCTGGATCAATCCCGTCGTAGAGGGATTATATTATAATTTATTGTGCCGGAAGTGGTGATAAAGTGGAGAATTGGATTGTTCTTCAAGCTATCATATTGGGAAGTAATGATAGAACTAATATAGAAATGACGATAGTTAGACCATAGCATAAAGAATTCGATGTAAGTAATAAAAAATGCATCCAAATTTAATTCATTCATCAATTTTTAAATTGTCCTTTTGTTATTTTTGCTGAAATTTGTTAAAGTGTGCACAGAAAATTATTTGCATGAGTTGAGTAATCTAGTAACTTAGATTTATTCAACTTTAATAGCTTTATGAAGCCAATAAGTGAAATTTTCTCGTAAAATTATATAACTATATCGTTCCTATTGCAATTATTTTGTTCATTACACTCAAAAATGGATGATCTCGCATCTCACCTGCTAGGATGAAGAAGTACAAGCTCAAGGCCCTCATCTGCAACAGAAAAATAAAAAATTTTGAAATCCGTCCGCGAATAAAATATAAATTTAATTCTTTTATATTTATATATCAGAACTAAAATGACAATAATTACTCTAAATGTCATTAACAACATCATGACTATTACATCGTTTCTCAGCTCCAATCTTAGGTAATACATAATTTTCCACTCATTATCATAGTCTCAAATGCATCTTTACGTGCACATTTATACAACTAAATGGTTATTAATATGCCATTGATCGCATGTTCCATCGACATGACACACTGATCCATATATAATATAATATAATATATATAACATAACATAATATAATATAATATAAAATAATAAATAATATAAACAACAAAAAGCGAGAATAGAGAATACAGTCGTGCTCTTAGTAAAATTTGAATTAGATGTTACCTCTGCCATCTGTTGACGGCCTAAGTGGATGCTCAACGTATAATAACTAAAAATTACTTGCTTTATGGCGTGTGTTTTCTAGATATATTCGGCCAAATTCGATATATATCTGAAATGTGATCGTTAACTTAAAAACACATCCACTAAATGCACATTAGAACCAATGAATAGGAAAGAATCACATGAAATTAGGCGTTCAATGATACCAATCTGTATATTGTTCAGTGAAAATGCCGAGAAGTATGTGACCTTGGCCAGAAAGCTCACCGGTACTTAGGTAGGTAGCCTCTTTCAATGTAACTACCTCGATACTAAATACTCTTTGATGTTCACTTAGTGACCAGGCGCTGCGATCGAACGCTCCCCACACAACCTCGCGCGACGACCGCCAGGCAGCAACTTGTGGCAATTTCTGCAGTCTGGCGCCCCGGGAACGAAACACACATTTAATTGAATCCGGCTATTGCAGGGCCTGCGTCAAACGAGTGCTTCCGAGTTAACAAAGCGGTTAACGCATGGAAAAGAGTAACGGCGTTTGAGCTTTTTGTACTTTTTTGTGAGCGACTTTGTTATTATGATAGCAATTTCAATTTATATAAACAAGTATGAACTCTTCGATGTCTTCTGTTATCTAATTTCAGATGCACCATTGTTGTCTTTCCGGCTATCATTCGGCTGAAGTTTGGTTTTCAACGTTTTTTCCTCGAAATATTTGACTCCATTCATTATTTTAAATTAAAAAAAGGTGAATAATAATAGGCTATTTATGACTCGTAATGCAATATATCACTCTAGTTACTCGTCAAAAACTTGCTACACTTATTAGATAACCAATAGTTGGTATAATAGTTTGAAAAAACTATTTTAGAACCAAGGCAAACCAGGGTTGCAGTGCTTCAAAACAAATCGAACTTTTCAAAATTTGGACTTCATCCGCGGTATATTTCGCACAGCGGAAATCATTCTTAAATCAGTAGAACGTATTCATCTCGTGTTAGTCCGTTTTTTTCTAGCGGCATTCTTCTCAAGTAAGCATGTATTATTCAAGAAATGCCTGTGCAACATTAGGCATCATTCATGTTGGATCGTAGCGCGCATGCCGTCGCAGAATCTCTGATAATTGAAAATAATTCATATTATTGTGAAATAATTTCATCCATGTTATGTGCCGGAGTTATTTACACATGAAGTTAAATAATGTAATAACTTATGAATTGATCTTTTTCAAGTTGACAATTTGTAATGGAAATATTGGTTTTGATACCCTCGCACTAATACTACGTTAAAACGTATCGCATGATTTCAATCGAAGCATTCAGTTGAGCCATCTCAACATTAAAAGGGATAATTAGAAAGTTCTTGCCGCCAACAAGTACTAATACAATAGTAGTAAATGATTCATCTTATAGCATGAATAATGGCAGGATTTATTCATGGGGAGTTCCTTCGTTGTTTCGCTGTATTCTGAATAATATTCAGTATATCCAGAAGTGCGTTACCAAACAAGATTGTGTCTGCGTAGAGGTTGAGACATGATATATTTAAAAAAATTCTTGGGAGAATATGATGGATCTCCCTGCAAATAATGAAATTTTCGCATCGCAATTTCATAAATTATTGCATAAAGTGCTTGCAACAAAATGCGCCTTATGAATTACCATTCACAATTTATGGCTGCATCCAATGCTGAAGAAATCGATTAATAATATAAAGGTATTTACAACTTTAGAATCGCAATTTCCCTTGAAACGACAACCCGATGCCGTCTTCATCAGTTTGGACCGTGGCCTGAATGTGCGGCAATAACGTAAGTCCGTGCAAGTCTGTGGAGGGGCTATTTTCGTATCTCTTGCAATGTTCTGAACTAACTGGCACTAAGGCAACTACTTAGTGAGAGTATATTTTTGGTTTTTGGTCCTACTCTGTAATATATTTTGTGGTGGTGGTACGGTGGCATTGAAAAATTATGGAAAAGATCAAGAGATTTCGCCAGAAAGAGCAAGGAGAAATGGAAATGGAAGTTGGAGATGAGTGAATGTACTGTATATGTGGAGGAAAAGTTGTACCGGTGCATTTAAAACTGGAAACATCTTAATCTTTTTCTTTTTAAAATTTAATACTGTATTGTAAACGACTGTAATGTAAATACGTAATCGTAAATACGACTGTAATGTAAATCGTTGATATCAAATTCAAGTGAGATCAACCGTGGTGGCTCAGGCCACCTGGTCTACTGATGACGGTGGTTATAAAACCATTGTGCTTCCGGCTCAAATGTAACTCAGTAAGTGAATGCTTGCATAACAGTCAACTATAATAGGAACTTAAATAAGAAACAAGACATATAATGAAACGTATAAGTATTTGGAAAACAACTACAATGAAAAAAATTTAGCATACCTTGCATATAAAAATAAACCTTGAAGATATATACATTATAGAGATCAATGCACACATTGGATAAAATATAGTGAATTTTTTAGTATTTTTTGTTTTCATGTTAATTAACTGTAATTTTGCTCCTGAAGTCTCTGTTACTCCGGCAGCCGGTTGGATGTTACATGTTAATGAGAGACTCGGCCAACGGGTGGAAATTAAGAGAGTAGACGACGGCGCTCTGGTTGATTGGACCTTTTGGAGACGAATGCACACAAAACTACAATGCTTCTTGAAATTTCTTGGCTTGACATCCCGACTGGAATGGCTTTTAATATAAAACGATACTTGGCCTATAATTTCCAAATGACTCGTAGAACAGATAAGTGAAGCGGAAATATAAACAATATGGTGACTGCGGACTCGATCGCAGAATATAACTAAATTTTCCTCTCCGATTAAAGATAACTTTTTCTCATCGAGAATTTTCTCATGTTTTAATTTTCGTTGAAGGAAGTAATTAAAATTTTTTTCAATCGTACTTTTCCATGCACATTTTAACACATTTGTTCAGGCTATCATTTCGGCCGAGTTTTAAATTTATGAGTTACAGAAATATGCGTTGCGAACAAGACATGAAATATGTTTTACAAAAATATGAGTTTATCTTATGACATTCAAATGAATTTCTCTACTAACCCACCCGACTAATCGGTAGAACTGGTTACAAATGATATCATCATGATTTATTTTTGTTTCTAGAATTAGCTTTACGTATGTATAACTGCTTATTGCGTAAGTGATGCCACTCAAAATTATGTTCACGTGATATTGATGCTGATTTATAGAAAAAAGGAATTCTCATCTTCTACATTTTGAATAGAAGGAGTCACCAAAAATGTGGTTAATGGCTGATAAATTTCACTTTTTGTAGAGAAAAACAAGAATCTGAGTCTTTTATCTTAAAATTATGCCCCAATTATAGGTGGCCTTGAGGCCTCGCTGAAGTAGAAGCCGGTATGAACAAAGGTATTGGAAATAACAAGAGTTCCTTTCTTCACACTATTTATTTCACTTCTACGGTCGAAATACACGAGATTCGGCAAAGAAGAACAAGATAGCGAAAAGATCATAAAAGAATTATCGCAGCTATGCCGAATATTTGTGCTTCAAATATCGACAAAACGTTTCAGCGAACTAAAATGTGAATAAAGACAAAAGGTTTATTTCGTTGAGCGATGATTAATGCAATATTCTGATTGTTGATGTAGAGTAATGGTGGGCATTTATAAGGCGTGAACTATTCTATTTCGATGGGCACGCGTGTTGTGAGTGACGTATTAGCATATTTAAACTTTTTGTTTCAACAATGTTAATTCCGCCGTGCGACTGAGACTAATTACACCGTCTGTATCTTCTGAATTAAACGCGTTAAACTCTAAACACGAGAGATTTTGAATCGATTTTTCTCTGAATGAATTCTGCAATAAATAAATACTTTATATAAATAAAGTTGCAATAAATAAATTGAAACATCACATAATTATTCGTAAGTTCTTAAAATACTCAAATAATATTAGTAATCAATAGAGGTGCAAAGAATACGTAGCAATTTCATTATTTTAATATTTTTATAATGCACGGAGACAAGATGTTTATTTCAAATCAGAGCCTCATGCCCGCCGTCAGACAATGATCCCAACCGCGAACGATTTCGAACTAGAAAGGATGATATGTCTGTTGATATATATTGCACTACACAGGAGCATGTGTTATTACTGTAATTAACTTTAACTGCAAATAATTATCTATACCACTTGAATACCACACTGAAATATTAAGTTCCACAATTAAATATTAGGTAAAAAAATATTAAGTAAATATTAAGTAAAACACTTTTTGAATTTGACCGCTTGTGGAATTCTATAAAATAATGCATTTAAATCAGAGGTTTTACAAAATTATGAATTGCACACAACTGATTAAGAACTGTGCTCCGAATAAGGATTAAATTTAAAATTTTTTTTTCTTAACAACGAAGTTCATTTTATTTTAAGTGTACGAAGGTCCGTCTTATCTACAATGCCTAATTGGAAAATTGTGATTCTTTAATCAACCAGGAAATTTGAATGAAATATGCCTCATTTCCAATTGAGCGAAAAACCTAGAATTAATTTACCTCAAATGTATAAAAATAATGACTCATCGAATGAATAGATTATTGTGAAACAATAGATTATTGTCGTCTATATGAATAGATTATTGTCGTGGTTAATTTCATCACCCTAATGGACTAACGAGACCAACTTCGAATAAATGTGTGATCAGTTGAACCGTAAGTGCAGCAAAAAAGGTACGTACAGAGAAAATACAAGATTTTACTTAGCCGTCACAAAATCTGTCAAAGCCTTTATTTCTCATTCATTCACTATACATCAGAAAGTTCGAACTATATGGCAAGTAATGTTTATTTGTACTGCTAGCGCAAAGTGGTCTCAACGTTTCACCGAAATGATTCAAAGGAAGCGACCCGACGGAAGGCCCAGCACTTGAATATTTGAATATTGAATATTTAAACCATATGAAAGTACTAATGCAAAATTACTATATGTTCTTTAGAGATAGTATTGGCAAACTTATATCACAAACTGAATAACATACCTGCTAAGCCCTGACTTCAGCAGGTTTCATAAATCGACGTTAGAGCAATAAAACGTAATGCGCGAATGATATAACTATATAGTCCCTCTAGACCACGAGGCACTGTCAGATGTAATAGTGAGACAATTTTAAATTTTCTCGGGCCCCAGAAAACTTAGACATCATTCTAGATGTATTACAGTCACACATCAGGAAAATTTCTGATCAACGACACGTTTGTTGCATGTATATAATTAACTACATTCTTTTAAGCAACTTCATGGAACATTAATACTTCCATCAGAGGTAAATTTAGAAAATTCCTGGTCCAGTTATATATACGCTTTGAAATAAGAGGTCCTATTTTAAACACAATCGATGCTACACTATAAGTAGCATTGGAGTCGTATATGACGGAAACGATTGGTACAAAAGAACAATATTTTATTCAGCTAAACAAAATCTCTGTTGCACCTTTACTTTAAAAAATTTCTAATATAAAGTTATGACACTTCAGTGATAATCTTTCACCACAACAACTATTAAAACGAAAATTGGTTGTCCAAGAATTACCTGGATGAATAACATATAACAAGGCAGCTTTATTGAGAGTTAAATAAATTTTACTTTCATACTTTAAAACCGAACTATATTACTACTTAAGTTCCCTGCTACCAACATACAACTTTTTTAAAATCATATTATTGTCATCACGTACAAGTCAGAATCGTGATCGTAGAAGATGCAAACTGAGAACTATGGCAAGTGCTGAATATAGTGGCTTCAAGAAGATTATGTTGTTTGAGTCGGTGAGCTGATGATGCCATTTACAAAGCCATGACAACAAGAAGAAGCGCCAGTAATGCAGCAGCATTTGACAATCCTGTGAACATAGAGTTGAAGTACACAGCGCCGTTTTATATTCTCATTCCTGAAATAACTAAAGGAATGGAAAGCTTGAAGGCAACTTCTAGCCCATAAGCAGCGAATGGTTACATATGTATGCTGTACAACCATCATAACGAAATACAAATATTCTCAATATTTATTCACATTCGGGTGTAATTCTAAATCCACCAGCCCATTTATTGAGTTATCTCACTACCGCTGATAAGCAAATAAAGTGCATTTCGAATTCTGCGAAAAATCTCTTTGTGCTGTAGCGATGACACCTTAATAAATATTATCCTGAAATACCCTTTTCCAACAAACTATCATCGTTCTACTCAAAGTGTAGTGCCATAAAGGGACTCGTGTCGCTTAGAGAGCAGTCAAATTTCGTCCTTTATTTTCGCCTTGCAATGCCATTGCAATGAGGCGCAGTTTCTGGAATTGTCGCACGAAGAGGGCAAAAAGGAACCCGCTCACTACGGGTGCTGGATTCCATGTTTTCATTCGAATACAGATAATTTTAAATCAAAAATTTTCAGTTTTCCCTCGCTGCAAATAATTTAAATTATAGTCCAGCTTAGTACTTATACTTACTTAGCTTAGTACAACTTACTAACGAAGCTGCACTAGCTCCTTTCGGTACTAACATTAGGGAGGTAAAATTGCAACCTCGAGGAGACCTTACCTCGCCTGGAGGCACCTCCAGTGCCTATCATGGCCTCAGCAAGAGCGGCCTTCTGTTCCTCAGACAGGCTGTCCCTGATAGCACCGTTCATAGCCATTGCTGTTGTGGCAGAGAGACTGCGCAGCTGCGAGGCACTCATTGCCTAAATAAATCCAACATAAATTGAGATAAATATTTGAACAATGAAGAGGAAAGATACTTATGGGCCCAGTCAACATAAGCGACTTTATGGGCAAACGACCATTTAATCCCGATCAAAACTGAATAATTTAGCCCCGATTGACCATGCACTCTCAATATTTTTAAACCACCGTCTTTTATAAAGTTTGGCAACAATTCATTACTAAAATATAACTCAGGACCTAACCTAGATCGAGTGTCCCACTCAATTAGGTTAGAAGATACTTCTTTGGAATATATAACTGATTTAAATTTTGGAAATACTTCCCAGAAGCTGGGTGCTTTTCTTTATTGATCAACACAAAACTATATGGTACTTAGTACGTTTCACTACGTACATATTTCACGAAACTCTGCAAAAGGCATATCGCAAGCAATGAAATCGATGTGTGAATGGAATTCATATAAATAATTCGTTTTAATATTCTGCTTTGGTAATATGTGATAGTTTTGAGACTAGTAAATTTAAAAACAGTTATTCGGTCTTCCACGCTTATATTAACTATCAGCAGGATTCTGATTCTTTTCCGTATAAATATCATCAAAAGTGAACAGAGTCTTCTACGCCTTGCTAAATGCTGTTAAACTTTGCAATGTCAAATAATCTTTTCGACTTGGTCTCAATTATTAAATACGACCCAGGTACCGTCATTCGATATAAAATGTAATTCATTTACTTTTGATTACGAAGCCTGTGGGAATGATTTCTGGGGTTGCGATGGGACGGCATGCATTTGCTGTAATTTATCTTAATCAATTTTACTTGATTAAGGAGACTATCGAACCTAATTATAAAAATCTTTATAGTACTCCATGCTCAATTATATCGTATGCATTCAGGTACCTGCGGCTCTTGAAGCTTATTCGGAGGGTTAGGTGGGTGCACCGGCCCTTTGCTCCTACAGTGCATGGGTGACTATACCGAGGCTACTGGATCTCTGAAGGACGATCGGCTGTGGCATTCGTCACACTTGATTTTGACGCGAAGCATGTCGGATACGTTCTAGTTCAATAAACTCTCATTCGACTAATCTGATTTTAACTCCTTGATTTGATTTTTCAAGACTCCAGGTTAAGTCCCGGGTTATTAGTAACCAATAGTTTCCAAGCTTCACCAACAACAGTGGTTTGAAAATATGCGGAGTGCATGGTAAATTGGGGTTGCATGATCAGGTTTCTATGGGGAAAAATGGTCGTTAACCCATTAAGTAGTTTATGCAGACTGCGTTCATATGCTCTCTTTCCTCTCTACTACGAAGAGTTACTCAAAATTATGAAGAATATTTGTCTCACAGAAGCGGTAACTCACGTATATTGCACTGAAATCAGGGTACTATTTTTTGCCACCCGCTCATCCTGTCTTCCACCTTTCATATTCACTCACGTACCCGGATGGCGTCGCCAGTCATAGCACGCATCGCGGTGGACGTGAGGCCGGTGAATGAGCTTGGATCGAGGCCTCCGATTTTGTCTGATTCAATCCCCGCAAACACCACGCCCATCTCCCGCACCTGAGAAACGACGTCGTGACAAACTTGCGAGGTCCTAAGTTGTATGGTTCAAAGTTTCATGTCAAATTTACAACCGTTTGGGCTAAAAGAAACGGTTATACCTGAGGATTTATTTTTGATAATCTGTCTACACCAAAATGCTGGCGAGATGCATTAATGATGATGCTAGGTCGTGAAATGATGGTAATGCAACATAAAATATCATTGACTTCAAGAAGAAAGCTTAAGTAAGCAACACCTGACCATTTGAAACTGAGCATAGACGCATTTATTCACCATAGTATGTCATTCTGGCAACATGTGTTTGCAGCTACGTGACATTACCTGAGCTCTAGACAATACGCTGGGGTAGTAAGTCCTCGCTTTTAGAGCAAGAGGCGCCAACACCTTCTCCCTGCTGCAACCTTCCAGGGTTACTCCGAGATAAGCCAACGCATTTCTACAAATATAAATGTAAATTACTAGTGCCTCAACTTTCTAGCAGTTGCTGACGATTGTCTTTGCATGGGATATCTTTCATTATACAAACTGTAAAATCCGTCGATTCTTTTCAACTACTTGAAGCTTTACCTAACATAAATGGAATTTAGCGTAAGTATTCTTTGGTAAAATCAAAGTTTGCCAGAATGAATGTCAATACAGCCAGAATAACAAGAATGATCAAGCACGTAGCTTACCCGACGCGTTTAACACTGAGGGTGTTAATGAGCGAGGCGTTGGTGGCGCACAGGAGGCGGTTGAACATGGCCAGTTGATTATCCGTCATGTCGGCAAGGGGCCGCCACGTCGTGAGCACCTTTTCCGCGTACGCCCGGAGCTGTCAATTTGAATGAAATTTTGTTAGCTGGGTTGTGATTTTTTCGCAATTACGCGTCTGGACATCAAGATTATTTCGTTGCGTCCTCCGGGATGAGAAATTTTTCTTCTGCCACTCTCCAAACAAAAGTAAATTCCTCGTACCGTAGAAGCGAATATAAATAAATAATGCGCTAATGATACAATTAAAAATTAATTGAAGCCTATTAAAATGAAGCCACGCAAAGAATTTGTAAAATTTATGACCATCCACTGGCTTGTAAGTAAAAAGTAAGTCCGAAATCTGGAAGTTAGAGGATTGGCTGCAATTCATGAGCAATTGCATTATTGTGAATTGTCTCTTCCAAAACCATAGTTACGTATCACAAATTCAATCCGTTTGTCACGCCTGTGGTCGTCGAAAAGGGCTCAGGCCGTTTGGCAAAGATTTCTGTAACTAATCGTAATATATATTTGTCGTTGTGTTAAAATTACGGGTCGAATCATACCTGTTCTTCGGAGAACATCATTTTCTCGTTGCCCAAGACAGCGACCGTGTCAGTGAAATCGCCGTAAGGTGAGAGGGAAGGGAGTTCATTTATTTCGTTGGCAGGAATGCCCTTCATGATGTACCTCATATAACGCATTTGACGGTTGGTGAGGGACGACCACGACCTCGAGGGTAGGGAATCTCGTACTTTGTTTGCTAGTAGCTGTCGAATACGCGACCATGAGAGAAAATTTGAAAACAATTGACGGTCGCGGGTGTGGGTTTAGAATACATGGAGGTAAATTTGAGAGGTTTGGGGAAGATTGAGTTTCCTTAGCACAGATTTTTGAAACAGCGGAGCGTTGGCGTTGATTCGAGTAGTATCGGGACCACTTGAAAAACTTTATAGAAATTAAATTATTATTATTTTGAAAAGTTTGTATACTAGAAATGAGAGCAGACAGCAGTCGATAATGCACTATTGAATGAAGGTTTTGGACTAAATTCTGTTCAGTTTGAATATTCAAATGTCATGGTACGAGCAAATTTTTTAAAAAAGTCTTTAGGAATTCATCTTAATATTTTTTTCACAACAAATATACTCATTAGTGTGTAAATGAAGCCATAAACGTAATTATCATGCGTCGTACTAGAAAAAAACGATTTGTAAAGATCTTCATAAAAACTTTTCACAGCATTGCCCATTCTCAATTAAGTCGCTACTTTTTCAAGTTCAAAAAATGCCTGCTTATTTACGTTCGTAAATTCAACAGTTGACAATAGAAGGCCAAGTTACTCATATATGAGAGAATTGAAGGTCATTTGTGGGCCTCATAACGTGTCAAACATGCTGACCACGATTGCAGGGCCCACATAAGTACTGTACCGAACTTAGGTTACTTAGAAATACGTTCACATAGGTCTAACTCAGGTGGCACGGTGGTATTAAAATATTACACTATATTATACGATATATTTTAGACGAAAATTTATCACCTGAGCTTTGGTGTCATCAAGCTGCCCAAGGCCGAGGCTGCGCAGGCACATTATGACGTCATCAGGGGAGGCGGCGCTAATATCACTGTTGCTGATGTCGTCAGCTCCGCTTACTGAAGCGCGATCACACAATGCGACGTCGCTCACAGCTGAACGGATAACCAATGGTACTTGTCAACAAAGTGGTGGACAAAAATACTGTAACGATAAGTTATGTTAGCGGAGGTGTGAAAGTTAGAAAGACAATATTAGTTATTTGTGATAAACTGCAAGTGGCTTGTTGACATAACACGAACTGCATGCGCCGAAAATTACAGAATGCGTTGTTCGATAATCTTATAGTAATTATGTACTATTCTCCAGCCGAATGCGAATCTCACATTCCTAATTTTTCTATATTTATTGAACTGTTGGGGCTGTTATCTCATTTACGCACATTCTAGAAATTGATTATATTAACACACATGATCATCACGTTTCCGCGATGTTTTTATCTGTGGGTATCGGATTTTCACGAAAGGACAGGAGGGAAATTTCACTGACAACGCGCCTGCAGCGGTTCATATCAGAAGTCCTTCAGAATAAAATCAAGGCGACAAGGTTGACAAAAGCATCAAATGTTCGAGTGTCGTTCACGTGTTAAACCAACTGCACACAATGTGTACAGAATTAGTCTGATTAGTCTCAGCCTGAATATTAATCTTATTTGCTGAAGTGTTTCAAATGTCCAAATGCTGAATTTGCTTTGGCTTTTTTGTATGCTGGCTTCTTTGATTCCTTACATTGTATGCATATTTGGTAATTATCTGCAAACATATTGACGTTATGGGTGATATGCCTGATGATAATGAAGACGCAAGAGAGGGATAGTCGCTCGAGATTCAGATGGTAAGTTTGCATGAGGTGTCGGTTTTGAGATAAAACTTTGAATTTCGCATCGTTTCTGCTGCCAGTCACTCTCGGTAAGCTCTGTCAGTACGCCAGAGTCGCCACCCTAACAAAATTTAGAGGCGGGTGCGACTCTGAAATAGGGAACGCCCAGGACTCGGCGAGCACGAAACTCAGCTCTTCTCAACTGAGAGGAATTTGACTTTTGTATCGAGGCACTCTAGTGTTTCAACGCCTCTACGACCGTGCCGAAAGCGAGACACTTGTGGCCGCCAAAGTAGTTCAGTGAAGTCCAAGTGTTTCCAAAGGTGAGATTTCGAGACATCTTGGTGTTTCGAGCGTACACTGAGAGAAAGAGGCCCCCCGTTTTGAAACACTTGGGTGTTTCAAAACCTCTCGAGCTTCACGCGCTTATATGTGTGCGGCAAGCGTCGCGCGGTCAGTGCGCCGAATGCTGTCTTAGGAGGTGGTTGTGTGGAGCCGCCGCTCATGAATGCCACGAATCTATACTGCTTACGGTTAATTGGCCCAACTCAATTCGGTTAATTGTTTCAACTCACTGCTTTAGTTGCCGTCTCCGTAGCCGAGTGGACTAAGGCGCCTGCTCGCGAGCGTTTGGTTGCAGTCTTGGCAGAGGTTCGAATCTCGGCGGGCGACTCACAGTTTCTTCAACCAGAGTTCGATAGAGGTGAGAGCAAAGAGTGTAGTTTCATGATGATTGAACATACCGATATAAATTGTGTGATAAATATGTGTATAAAAGAATGAATATGTGACTAATTTCGCTGTGAAGGAGAAAAGCGTTGAAATCAGATAGAGACGGAGAAATATAGTTTTCATAATTTTGGTATGGAGGAATCCATGGATTAAACTGGGATCGACCGGAGGAGTAGAATATGTTAAAATAATTTCATCAGGCGCTGGAAGCTGGACAAGGATATTGCATAAATTCTGAAAAGAAGGTTTCATTCTCCGTAGACTTCTTTCGGTGTTCTAACGTTGAAACACCTAGGTGTTTCAAAATCGCAAATTTTGAAACACCTGAACGTTTTTGAAACACACGGGTGTTTCGCTTTGGGCACGATCGCTCGAGGAGGATTTGAAACACCCAAGTGTTTCAAAACAGGGGGCCTTTTTCTCTCAGTGTACCAGCACGAAAAAATCTCTGGAGAATGAGATCTTCTTGTCACAATCTCTGCAGTATCCTTGTCCAGTTTCCAGAGCCTGATGAAATCATTCCAACATATTTTACACCTCTAGTCGATCTCAGCCTAATCCATAGCCGCCTCCATACCAAAATTATGAAAACGATTTTTCTCAGTCTCTTACCTGATTTCAACGCTTCTCTCCTTCATTGGTATTGTATTGGGATTGCTTGATTAAATTTTTGTTGTATCGGTGCATGAGATGCCTAGTACACTTTATGCGGTTTTGTATAATACAGATGTGTTCAGCGTTAACCCTTTATTGCATGCTTCGTATTGACTGAAAATGGCATGCCAGTGTTAGATAGCTCCTTTTCGTTTTAGCTTGACGTGTCGCATTTTGCTACGGTTATGTATGAGGTATGTTTCGGAGTTGGAATCTAGCTTGCGCTTCAGGGACGCAGATCAATTTATTCATTAACCAATCTTCCAGTTTGATTGCAAGAATATGATTTGGTCGCTGAGACTATTCTTGTATTAAATTAACTCGTTAAAAAGTAATAAAGTTTGTCGAAAATTAATGGACGTATGGTTCCTAAGACAGAGAACTATTTTTCTGTCGTACTGTGTTTGAAGTTTCGTCGTAAAAATTAATGTTCACAAATGACCTGACTTGCCGTTTTGATACCATTTGAGAGCTCGTCGATCGGGCACTTCAAAGACGCAGAAACGACGGGCTTATCTATATAACAATGCTACAATATAACCAACATTGAAATATATGTTTCATCAGGGTCGCCATTGCACTTATGATTAACTGGGTGATTTTACTTCGTACCGATACACGCCGTGTAGATGGACTGCTGTATAATTTTCTTGCGGAAATTTCATACGCGTAATTGACGCTGTAAAATCTGATTCACGAATTAAGTTTAAAGGTTTCGATATGTTTTCGGAGTTTCGTGATGGATGATAGAAATTAAAATAAAACTTTGTTTTATACATGCCTAAACCTAATTAAGTTCAAAATGCATTGATTCCATGACTCACTACAATTAAACGGCGACATTATTAGAGCGAAGGCGCGCGCTGTGAACTGCGGCTTTGTGCTGCTTGGACATTGACAGTTAAATGTTGCGCAGACGTACATTATGAGGGCGTATAATTGTATGTGATGCAAATATATGCGGATGTGTATCCCATTCACTTATTTCAGACTGTTTGTAACAGATGCGCCAATGTGATTTGTAAATACTCGTTTACACCCAAACATATTGCAAGTGAACGTTTTACGTGTGGCTAACTTGCGGAAGGCATATTATGATCCGTGAGGAGGCAGGCATTGCTGGCCCAGTCGAAATTCAGATTCCGTTTAGGAGCGCCGGATGCTCGTCATAGCCGACTTTGAGGCAAATCAGACGTGTATCAACCGCCTACTGTATTCGGCTACTAATTTGCAGCCGTTCTCGGAAGTCACTTGCCTTATGGGTCAAATCTGCATAAGACAACCGAAATAAGCGGCTGAACAGACTGCCCAATGCTCGCTCACCTCAGTGGATGGTGCGAGTTCTTAGTGCGAGCGTGACCAGCACCTGATTCAGAATCAAAGACGATTCAAGTGCAGGCGCACAAACTTCTACACTGAGAGAAATAGGCCCCCTATTTTGACACTTGGGTGTTTCAAATCCTCCCCGAGCGATCGTGCCAAAACCGAAACACCCAGGTGTTTCAAAAATGTTCAGGTGTTTCAAAATTTGCAATTTTGAAACACCTAGGTGTTTCAACGTTAGAACACTGAAAGTCTACGGAGAATGAATCCTTCTTTTCAGAATTTATGCAATATCCTTGTCCAGTTTCCAGCGCCTAATGAAATTAATTTAACATATTTTACTCCTCCGGTCGATCCCAGACTAATCCATGGCTGCCTAAATACCAAAATTAGGAAAACTATATTTCTCCGTCTCTATCTGATTTCAACGCTTGTCTTGTTCACAGCGAAATTAGTCTCATATTCATTCTTTTATTCACATTTATTACACAATTTATATCGGTATGTACAGTCATCATGAAACTACACTCTTTGCTCTCACCTCTATCGAACTCTGGTTGAAGAAACTATTAGTCGCCCGCCGAGATTCGAACCTCTGCCAAGACTGCAACCAAATGCTCGCGAGCAGGCACCATAGTGCACTCGGCTACGGAGACGGCAACTACATAGAGCTGCAGTGTTTGTTTTGTCTGCGCGGTACTACCGGTATAAATCTTCGATTTTATGATCAACTTCTAGTGTGATTGAATGGTATAGACGTCGCTCGTTAACATTACTATTGACAAAAGAACAGCAGTGAGTTGAAACAATTAACCGAATTGAGTTAGGCCAATTAACCGTAAGCAGTGTAGATTCGTGGCATTCATGAGCGGCGGTTCCACACAACCACCTTCTATGACAGCATTCGGCGCACTGACCACGTGACCCTAGCCGCACAAATAAAAGCGCGTCAAGCTTGAGAGGTTTTGAAACACCCAAGTGTTTCAAAACCGGGGACCTTTTTCTCTCAGTGTACACGCGTGTGTTTCAACACTAATGCATTGAGTGTACGTCAACGTGTGTGCGATAAGTTATCTACAATACGCTTGATGTGTGTTTTTTTTTCTAGCGCAAATGGCTTAAAAATTTGTAAGACAATTCAGGAGACAACAATTTTCAGGATCACGCCAGTGCGTGCTTCACGTGTGCAAATGAGCGTCCATCAACATGCGACCATTGCGCGTGTTTAGCTAACACACGTGCATTGGGTTATCTACGACACGCATACTTGCATTTATGTCAAGACCCTTGCCAAAAGTTTCCGTGAACGGGCTTGCGTTACTTGTAAGCCAAGATGTATGTATTGCGTGTGTTTAGCAAAACACCAACGTTTCAGAGTCCGGAGTACCAAAAAAATACATTATACTGCCTATTAAGGAGTGTGACGGTTATCAACTACACTGGCTTGAGACTAAGCTGGGCATCGAAAGAGTGTTTGGAGACGTTTATATATGACAGTGATATACCGATTTTTGCCCTGTTCGGACGTAAGTTGATTCACTCTTCTAATTCAAATTGTAATTTTATT